CGATTTAAGGGATTCTCAGCAGAGTGGGTTTTAACACTATCCATTGAAAGATGTTACATGCGATTTAAGGGTTTCTCAGCAGAGTGGGTTTTAACACTACCCATTGAAAGATGTTACATGCGATTTAAGGGATTCTCAGCAGAGTGGGTTTTAACACTATCCATTGAAAGATGTTACATGCGATTTAAGGGATTCTCAGCAGAGTGGGTTTTAACATTTTCCATTGAAAGATGTTATTTAACCACACGTTATTTACATTGTTCCAGAACAACTAGTAAAACCACACGTTATTTACATTGTTCCAGAACAACTAGTAAAACCACACGTTACTTACGATGTTTTCACAGTTTTTATACGATTACCATTACTATAAAACACCCTTTAATATAATTACCTCTAAGCTCTCTGAAACTTCTAAAATTCTCGATACCTTTCATACAAAACTCTGCACATATTTTAATGACGGTTATATAATTATATATAAGCTCAATAATTTGGTTTCTCCGATGCTTAATTGGTTATAAAGCTTATATCTGTAATATTTGTATTGTAGTATGTTCATTTTAATAATTTTACCATATTTTGAGTTCTTGAGAAGATCTTATTATTTAACTTTGATTATTTAACCAAACACTATTGATTAACGCTAAAAATGTATTCATTGTTACCTTAAAATATTCTGCGTCACCAAGAATCCTAATCTCTGACTAATGTAAATTAGTCGCTTTGACTTTTGGCTTGTTTTTCTTTTTCTATTGTTTTATGACGCTACTACGTACTCTCAGGAAATTCATTATGAAAAATAGATGAATTATTTCTTAATTTTTTTAGCTCATATCGATATTGTTAGCTATATTATCGACATATTTAAGTCAACTGTACACGTGTTTGACTTGTATGAGTCAAAATCTACACACATGTTTGAGCCATCTGAGTCGAGAACTATACACCCATCAGTTAGTTTGTTTTTGAATTTCGCGCAAAGCTACACGAGAGCTATCTGCGCTAGCCGTCCCTAATTTAGCAGTGTAAGACTAGAGGGAAGGCAGCTAGTTATCACCACCCACCACCAACTCTTGGGCTACTCTTTTACCAACGAATAATGGGATTGACCGCACATCATAACGCCCCCACGGCTGAAAGGGCGACATTTTTGCTAGGAGGGGATTTAAACCCGCGACCCTCAGATTGCGGGTCAAGTGCCCTAACAACCTGGCCATGCCGGGTCAGTGTTCGACCCGTATGAGTCAAGAACTATAAAAATGAACGACACAAACGGGTCAGGAGTTTTAAGGGTATTCGACGCACCTGAATCAGGAACTAGAATAAGTCGAAAAACATGTTTGACTCATACTATACCACAGTTTTTGTTGGTACATGATAACATACTATACCACAGTTTTTGTTGGTACATGATAACATACTGTAACACAGCTTTTGTTGGTACATGATAACATACTATACCACAGTTTTTGTTGGTACATGATAACATACTGTAACACAGCTTTTGTTGGTACATGATAACATACTATACCACAGTTTTTGTTGGTACATGATAACATACTGTAACACAGCTTTTGTTGGTACATGATAAC